TGTACTTTGTGTTAAGTTGGGCGCGGTTCAAAATACTCTCTGATTCTTTGCGGTAAGAAGTGGCGAAAATTAACACAAGAACAGAGAGTTGCAGCGACTTCAAGTGGCGTTAATTTTCTGGGCCAGCTCAGGATCCCGCACCCGCAGCGGGCGTATGTGACCCGCTGACCCGACGCGGCATGTTTCTTCATCTTGCGTGTGCCTTATATGTAGCTTGGTAAAGTGCCTCAAATGTAACTTTAACTTAGTTTAAAACGGAATGAACGTATGTAATGTTTGAAGCAGAGCTATACTTTTATCGCTTTTGTGTCTGATTTGTTTATATGTCCCTACACAGTGCATCGCCCCATGCCAGCCGGACCCTTAATCCGCGCCTGTGACACCCTCCGCATTCTAACTCTTTCACCAACATCATTGGTTGTATAACTCGCACGTTTGTAGTGACAAATTGAACGTTGCCTTTGTGGTTACAACGTAACATCTATATTTTCTGTCATGCACATACTCGAGTCGGCCTTACATTATTGTTATCGCTCTCTCCCTAAGGCATTATATCGAGCAGCGAAAGTATTTCACGACTAAAAGCAAAAGCGCCTGTAAAATTCAAGCAATGGGAGTAAAACGCCTAACCCACTGGGATCGCGTTGGAGGAGGCCATGCCCGAGCCACTGTTATCTGACCGCACTGACCATTATCGCCGGCACTGTGTGAGCGGCATCGAGCTGGGGCCACACATTGTGGAAGAGACACGAAATCTTAAATCCTTCCAACCCAACCCGCTCCTCCCCCTCTCTTCTTTGCTCTTCCCTTCTCTACGCATTATCATACTTCTCCTTTATCTGTCTTTCGTGGCACGCACCGCTTCAACAGCAGCCGTCTGTCGCACTTGCACAATCTCATGCACGGTGCGGGTTCAGAGTTCAAGCCCTACACGCGCACTATCAGCGGTCCAGCATCACTGGCCGAGTCCGGTCCTAAAGCACTCTCTGCTTGTCCATGTGCATGTCCACCGTCTCATGCGTCGACAGCACCTACAGCTTCTCTTTTCATCCTCCCTCCAATGTTCTTACCTGGGATACGACGGATGAGGTTTTATTTTGCACCTTTGTGCATACAAAATTCCTTTCCTTTCATGCTTTCATCTAAAATTCAGAGTTGAGAGGAGCAGCGAGTAACCATGTTCTATCTTGTATACAGAAGGGAAATGGCTCAATAAATTTACTATTACTAGTCTCTGAGTGATGTTTTTAATATCAATAAATTACCCTCATCCAATTCCTTACGGTCTTCTCTTTAAATGGCCCATATGCGAGTCGTCCAAAGTAAATACCATTAGGAAGGTGCCTGGGGGCCGTGACCAATGGCGCACTGCGCCGCAGACGGTGATTCGTCGAAACGTCGATCCTACTTTGCCTCGAGCAGCAGAGCCAGCGCGACATCCTTTTGACCAATATTTTTTTTTCTCGCCGCGTGAGTGCACTGACCGGCTGGTGCGCCGCTGTGCGCTGGACAAAGTAACAACGCCCATATCGCCCCGCCGCGCCCCGCCGCCGCTGCCGTTGCGTGTCGGCCAACACGTGCCGTGACGCTGCTATTTATTTTTCTCGCTCGTAAAGCAGGAGCTTCCTTGGCGCTGCAGCGCGAGCCTCCAGCGGGGCGGGGCGGGGCGGGAGGTGGTAACAGTAATTGACCGTCGCTGCCCGCGCCCGCCGTGCCCCCGGGCCATCGGGGTCCTTACGGGGGCAAAGGGGGGCAGTTTAAACCCCAAGGCACCACAGGCGCCCCTGGATCGCAGCGTCCTGCCAGTGATGAAGTCGAGTCATTGATTCGTTGCAGGATACTGCCATGTGGTACCGCTTCCACAGCAGGTTGACACTCCTGATAGGCACCTGACACTTTTCCCGCCATTTTTATCCCGTTGGGGCTGTCAGGCCCCATTGGTTCGACCCCCGGGGATAGTCATCGACATCGCGGCGAGTGGTATCCACTCTGTTTTTATAGGTGCATCGCGTTTGGGAGGGACGGGAGTGAGGGCGATGAAAGCAAACACACCGCACCACCCGCGTCTGGACTGACCCCCCAGCCACCCGCTGCCCGCGGCCCGCGGTGCATCTCCCAGCCCAGCCGCCACGGAACGGCCGCGCCGAGGGGGAGCCAAACGCGGGCCCGACGCGGAAACTCATTTAAAAGCCCAACAAATTAACGTTGAACTCGCATTCCATACGGCTGGGTCGGGGAGGTGTCTCCTAGAGAGAGGAGTCGGACGCGGCCCTAATTAGCAAGGCGATGAGAGTGGCCGCCTCGGGCCGGCGGCCCGGCCCGGCCGCCGGCTGTGGAGTGGAGGGAAGCTCATCAATGGCTGATCGTGATCGTGGGACTAGACCGCCCGGTGTCAGCGGCCAGGCCCCACGACTAGAAAGTGTACAAATGTCGCATGCCTGCAGGCGAGTCAAAACCATCTGCAGTATCACAGACACGCGACAACATATTCACACTTTTATTCGCATATATGTGTAACCGGAGAAGGCGACAAAGGGTGTATAAAACAGTGCCACTGAACTCGCCTCCTGGCTGTTCACCCTCAGCCCTATCTCACTGTACACCTTTTTATACGAGTTTTGTTTTTATTGCTCTTTGAAGATTCCAAAAGTTAGCCTTTAATGAATGATATCAAGTTTTGGCAAATAACGGGCAAAAGACGAGCAAAATTTGGCAATCAAAAAAGAGTGCTAAAATGTTGGCAAAGTGGGTGACCACGGCGTTTAGAGTTCAGTGCATAGTCACAGTCCAGGTTGCACTATTTGTATATGTACACAGGGGAAGAGCCATGGTCCAGTAGCACTGGAAAAATAAGCGATGCAACGTTACAAGCAATCACTCAGCCATTCTACGAATAGACCAATGTTAGTGACCGTGACACTGTCGAGTTCGTCCAATATAACTAACTTTTCTTTTGCATCTGTTTTTCTGTGCCTATCATCCTTTTGCTGACGTTGGTGACGATGAGGCAATCGCCTGCAGTCACCTTGGTTTTCTCCTGGCCTCTCGTTTTCCTCCATTCTCTTCCCCAGGCCCTCTTGCCTTCCTTCTCCTCCTACTTCCTCTCCATTTGGGCGCCTCCTCGTCGTGCGGCCTTTTGGGACCCCCCGCCGCCGTCTGACCTGTCAGGTTGACAATGGTGCTGCTGATGGCGGGACAGAGAGAAGGAGAGAGAGGGCGAGTGAGAACGAGGGAGAGAGAGAGAGAGAGAGAGAGAGAGAGAGAGAGAGAG